TGCATTTTCAGGCCAGGCTTTGCTGCGTTACGCTTTCATATTTTTATGTGTTTCGTGCTGTGTAACAGCAGTACAAAGCGCATATTGTCACGGGGTTGTCTGTATGTATGTGTTTGTGTATGTGTCCGCAGCAACTTGTCCACAACTTTCAACTCGGGAACCACAAAAGCTAGGAAGTTGAAAATTTAGAGGAACGTTCCCCATCCACGTGTGACCTCGCAAATTTAAATTCAGTCTTCCCGTTCCCGCGGGTAACACGTACGGCCCCGTAAAAGTTTTTTACGGGTAAATAATATTTTGGGAACCACGGAGTCTAGGAGGCTGAAATTTTAGGATAATGGCCCCCTGCCCACGCTCAACCTTGCCTTTCAAATTCAGCGCTCCCGCGCTTTTGAGTATCACCTACGGCCTCGTGAAAATTTTGGCGGTTAAACTATTAACTCGGGATAAAAGTATTCACCCTTCAAGGTTCGAATTCAGCTTTCATGCACTGGTGCGTGAAATTTTTAACTGTTTTCCAATATTTGAACTATTTTTGCTTAGACTAAAGTACAAAGCAGTGAAAACCATTAATAGGCAATCGTTCGATGGGCTGAATTGCACAAAACGCATGATCGCACCGGCTAGTTTGGTTTACCATTTATTTCATTCGCGAGTTATGAATTTTCCCGCCATAGTTTTCACGTGCCCGTACGTGAGCCCTATTTATTACACCTCCGAAACACCTGCTGGCACGGGAAGGCTGAATTTAAATCTGAAAGCTCGCATGTGAGTAAGGAACCTATCCATAAAATTTCAGCTTCCTAGATTCCATGGTTCTTAAGATAACAGTTCACCCGCCAAAGGTTTCGCGGGGCCGTAGATGATACACGAGAGCGTAGGAATGCTGAATTTGAATTGGCAAGGTCGTACGTGAGCAGGGAGTCAGTGCTGTAAAATTTCAGCCTCTTAGCTTCCGTGGTTACAAAGATAATAATTTTCCCCGCTGAAACTTTTACTGGGCCGTACGTATTACCCACGGGTACGAGGAGGCACAATTTAAATTTGCAGGGTTACACGTGGGTGGGGAACATTACCTTAAATTTTCAGTTCTCTGTCTTT